AGACAAAGATGAAAAAGATGCAGACAAAAGGAGTGCGAAGAAATGTCTGCAAAAATGTGATTTTTGTGGCGAGAATTGTTCTCGTTTTAATAAGAAATCTCGCTGTTCTAATAGAATTAAAAAGCCCTTAGACTATTCATAGAATTGTAGTAAAGGTATTTTAGGATCTAAATAGCTTTATAAAAAGGGGAAAACTAATACAAAACGATGCCCGAGTGCGAAAAATGTCACAACAGTCAATAAAAAACTCTTTTAGCAAAATGATGTTCAAATTAAGTTCATATTATTTTGTGCACTCTTCATTGTGTAAGGAGTTGAAAAATGATTGTTCTTTGAAAGAAAAAGCGAGGAATAAASAAACAAGCGAATAGGTACAGAGGGTAATAACGAAATCATGTCGAATTTTAAGTAAACAAAAACAAGATAAGTTATGAAAAGCCACAAACAAGAAAAGTCATCAAAGAAATATCGATAACTAACTTGAATTTCAAAACAACCCCGCCTACCTGAAAATTTATAGCTTTTCCATCTCACGTTAACAGTCGAAAATTACTTTACCTTTGGCTTTGTTTAAGTCCAGCTCTATTTGATTACTACTTTCTTAGCACGCTGTTTTACAATTTCTCTTCGTCCTTGTCTGAACTTTTCCCTTGTTTTCGCAGACCATTTTGCTCTTGAACTTCCTTCGCTACATTGATCATATAGTAAAGTATGTTTTCTATCGAATTCAAAAATGGTTGCTCAGCAAAAGGTGTAAAATTCTCGTAAATGCGAACTTCAATTCGTTCGCCTCCATCGACTACATAATTTTCCTTTCTTGTCCGCTCTTGAAGTAGATCAACAAGGACCAATCAGATACCGTGTAATATGTGCGCGCGTTATGATTGGTTGTCTAAAAATAGATTATCGGGACATCTGATGGTGGCGATATTATTGGAGAGATGGACACTTCTGGTTATGAACTTCTGACCTGATAAATTTCCCGCGACTTCATTCCAGCACCCTGTTTTTAATTACAAGTGATGTTGAGTTCGCCGAAGACGTTTATTGAAGATAATAGTAAGTGTTTTCTTTGTTTCAAGCAAGTTTTTAAAACGGATTAAGCACACAGCGACGATAATTTCCGACGAACCCAACTTGTGATCGAAAATGCATACCAATGTTTGAAAAATTAGCGATTTTCAAAACCCAGTTGGCTGAATAACGAACACATCGACTCTATCTACGATAAACTTGAGAATAGCATTCTTTTGATGTTCGTTTAACTCTCTGACTTTAAATTTCGCAGCTGCAATAACAACTATCTTGTTTTATTATGGCGCGAACGGCTCCTGGTTTTCAGGAGTCAAGCCGTGAGTGGTCAATCAAACGGAAAGGAATGTTGGGCCTGGGTAAACAGCCGTTACTTTCGGGGAGGAATTTTGACGAGACCGCAAGTCGCGGCTGTTGAAAAAGACTAATACTAATATAAAGTGATGCTGTTTGGACGTCAATACGACTTCGCTAGAGAAGCATCAAAATGATCTCTTATGGATTACACGATCAAGAATCAATAAATTTTGCGGCGAATGTTTTTGATATTTATGCAAAACTTGATTTTTTTGGACGTCAAGATGTTTACTTCAAAAATACCAACTTAGTGATTTCTTATTACAGAAAATATTTTCACTTTCTGGAAAAACAAAATCAAACAAAAAATGGGGTTTCCTGATGTTGAAGATTTTGTTATGGTGGAATATTTTAGTGGCGGCAACGCGCTGTCAAACGATAACTCACCAAGTAATGTTTATTACAAAAAAAAGCCGTCAATAGGCCTGACGTAATATGGCGAGTCACGTGATCTGCTGTACAGAAAATCAAAGTCTTTCTCATTCTATATTCGAAAGGCATAGTTAGAAATTAAAGGCGGCAAAAAGGAATCCTTGCATCAATTTTTTTTTTCAAAAGCATTCCATAAATCCGCCAAAGTTATTTGCAGCCACTTCAGTTAACTGATAACTGAGGCTGAAGTGGAGCCTCTTTTGACAAACATTAAACGATTGTTTTGGTTTGTTAGAATAATTTCCACGCCCTGCTTTTATTTTATTGTTCCAATAGGTATGTCCGAAGAGTCACCTTAAAGTCCCCCGTAAACATACGTAGTCTCGGTCAGAAGAATTCTCGGTTTTGCTCAACGGAGCGCGCTGTTTTATGTGATATCGAAAATGGCAYTGCATTTAATGAGGTTGAAGTACCATGTGAGAAGACTAATCGTCTGGGACGTGCTGACAATAACTTGGTATTATTAATAGAAAAAAAAAACGGGAAAATCCAGAGTGTGTAAATAATGTCAAAATATATACTAACCTTCCTTGACAACATAATTTAGCCTTTTCTTTTTCATGTTGGTAAAAAAATATTTCAGTATTCTTTTATTTCTGACTTGGAACCTTGATAAATTTTTAATGGTTTCTTTGTTAAAATTGAAATGTTATGAGATCAATTTTTAACCATGGAACCTCTAGTTATCTTTAGTATGAATAAAGATATAGTGAAAATATCTTAATAACATGCACGGTGCTTATAATTTAATGATAATTTATAATAATTTATTAATTTATATAGCGCAATTACTTATTAAAATATTCTAATGCAAAACAATAGTTGAAAAATTATATATATTTATAAAATCTATTTACATTGAATTAAAACGATAAATGCTAAAATAAATTAATAAGATTGACTAAATAAATTAATTTGTCTCCAAGTTATTTTCCATGAAAAATCTCAACAAAGTTTCAGCTGTGAATAGGAATAAAAGGAAGGCATAGCACAAGATGAGGTCATCTCACTTATCAGCATCCATTTCATTTGACCATGTATTTATCAGTAGCGGCGAAATGTAGATTTGAATACGTAATAGATCTCAATGTTCGCAAACAAATATCAACCCCATTTTACCACTCTATCCACTTTACCTATTGTTCATGTTTTAAATTTGGCACTTTTCACGGCAAGAGGTTAATATATCAAATAAGCGCTTATCATTCGACCAACCAAAGACTTGTTTTGTTGAAAAAAAATATGTTCCTTCTATCTCAGAGTTCACCACAAAGAAATTAAACCTCACCAATTGTAAATTTCCCAAGTCGTTATTGAGTTTCTCTTGCAATTGTTCATGGAAATCTCATTACCTTTAAATATTAATTGCCTCGCCTGTACCTGTACGTATATTTTCTTAAATATGAATCKGTTTAGAACAATAACAACATAAATAATTCATGCAATTGAAATTTGACATCTAACTCGCTGGAAGGGATTCAATAATATTTTGTATCTAAGACTGAGAAAACACTTACCATAAACTTCATCAGTGAGTTTTTGTGAGGATTTCGTCTTTTTGATCCGCACTTCATTGCCTCCAAAAGGTGATTGTCGATAATCAGAATCTAATCACTCTGTCAATGTAAGACCCTTTTATACCACAAACCACTTTTGGTCTTACGAAAATGCGATTAGTAAATCAGCATGGTGTTCTCTAGATCATAGCAGACGAGAAAGTTATTCACCAAGGATGGAACGCAAGCAGAAGAACTCGCTAACAARCAGTCCAGTGGAGACCAGGAGAAAGACTTTGGCAGAGCTAGCGCTTGAGAGTGGCTACAAGGTAAACACATCTCATTTATTTTTAGTTAATGACACTTTATTTCATTGCCTAGCTAAGAAAGACGTCTCTCTTGAACAGATGTTTTCGCTGCATTGTATTTTTTTCTGTCTGTTGGAGTAAATCTCATGCATTCGTGTCTTTCTTGCAATGTTCGCAAAAAATGAATAAACTTTCATAACAAACTGTTCGATAATTTTCGTTTTCGGTTGGATCAGGGATGATATAAAGGGAAAAAAGCGTGCGCAAGCCACGCATCTCAAAATGATAAGAACAATGGAAAGGATTCTCTTTAATGGATGAACACAAATATTCATATAATTACATGCTGTACGTTTCCAMATATCAGCTCCATTTCGAAACTGTAATTGACAGTTGGACTCACTTGAATCAGAACTGATAGAGTGCGTATAAACCTGTAAAATTAAAGGGRCATTGTCCACTAGCATGCAATGCGGTCGTGTTTTAGATTTTTCATATATGGAAAATGAGGTGACTTCGAATATCCATTTGCAATCCGTTTCCATCCATCGGTTTAACGGTCGAATCTCATAGCATCTCCATTCATATAGGATAAATGAATAATAAAGAGTAAGTTTTTGCTTATATTACGATGTATTTCTATTTTCAAACATAAACAAAAGCTCGAAAGGGATGCTGGTGGACCATGTCCCTTTAATAGCTTTAAAATAGAGCTAAATTTTGCCAAAATTGCCATTTTGTTTCTCTAWATTGAACACTATTTTCAGTTACATAGTTTGCAATCGTAAAAAAAATAAACTCAAACGAAWTTTTTTTAATCCTTTTAAAAAGATAGGACACATTTGAAAAATATWTGTTATTTGCAAACAGTTACTGCCGACCACAATGCATTTTGGTCATTTTAGGTCGAGAAAGGATCTTTGCCATAATTAAAAACAGCTATGCTTTACTTTATGGTTGCTTTCGGCTTGTCACTGATTGAATGCTCTAGACATCAAGACGACCACCTTATTACAATACATGTACCTGRCACAAAAGAAAATATTGTAATCGCGAGTCATTTCTGTGCCTTCAGTTCTTAAAGTGCACATAAAGAAATTTTATAAGGAAAGTTTAAAACTATCCTTAAAAAGAGAAATTCAAAAATTGCAATAATATATTTTGAGATGACTAAGCTTCAGAAAAAAAGCTAGCTTCCTTTAATTTTTATACGGGGAATTTGGGGCCTGGACGACTGATGACAAAGTTTGAAACGAAAAAGCCACTAAACTGCGAAAAAATATTTTTTGGAATAATTCCAGAAAAGAGGGTCACGTGACCAGTGTTTTAATTTTCGCACTATTTGTTAACATTGCAGGTAGGGCTAACACATGATGAGGGTTTGGATTGTTGTCTTAGGCATAGGGTTGAGATTTGGCTTAGGTTTAGACTTGTGTTATGGATACATCGTAACTTTGGGCGACACTGGTGAAAAACGCACTGCGCATGTCCACAGCTTTCCCGCTGAAATCTGCCTAATTTTCTTTCTAAAGCGATTTTTGTGAAAGGTTTTTACAATCTATAAGCTCGTTCACCGATATATAAGATTCACMTTTCCATCAATCCATATTAGAGTATGCCTCTGTAGTTTTTGCAAACCTTCCGCAGTATTTGTGCGATGCTCTKGAAAGAGTACAGAAAAGATCACTAGGGATCATTTTTGGCTATGATCTTAGGTACGAGGACGCCYTTGTGCGCGCGGGTTTAACGTCTCTCGAGGCGCACYGTCATAGTGYATGTATAAAGTTTGTGAAAGACATCAGGCATGGGAGTGTGTTATATCCCWTGCTGTCTAGTAGGGTGGTATCATCAGATATGCCATACTCATTAAGATCAGGGAGCGCTCTTCATGTGATACCAGGTCGCACTGACCGATTTTCCACATTTGTGTCTGCGAAATATGCAGGAAACCTTTCGAAGATTACTGAATGATTAATATTTATATATATTGTAATTCGCTGGCCCCTCCGGCAATTCAGTTGTAAAACTGCAATCGGTTGAATTAAACAAGCATTATTATTATTATTATTATTGGATTATGAAGGAATACACGAGAAGTATTTTGATCATATTTACTCTTTAAATATTTCTGCTACTAGGCGGTAGCCATCATCAGTATACGTAACTAAAGGAATCTGAGTTTTAAATGTAAAGTAGTTAAGTAAAGAAAAAAATATGGTGTCATTTTGTTCATTTAAACTAGGATTGTATTGTTTGATGCACGACGCTTCAGCTATTGTTCTACGTTCGTAGATGGTCAGATTGCTTTGAATAATTTGAAAGTCGCCAAAGTTTACATTTTTATGACCACTTTGCTGAGAGTRCTTAAACACAGACGATTTTTTGTCTCTACCACTATGATTCATCACCCTTTCTSACATTTCTATTTTCATTTCTATTTTGAGGAAATGGKKTTTTTCGTAGTGGCGGGAAAGCTGTGGGCATGCGCAGTGCGTTTTTCACCAGTGTCACTTTGGGCTAGGGTTTTGACCTAGTCCTAGTCACGTCTATAAAACAAACAACAATGCATTGCGGTATTGTAATGCACTATTTTCCGTATTCATGTTTTACTCGTATACCTCTATGATAAAACGTATTTCTAAAATCCTTTATCTTATCAAAAGCCAAAGTCCGACGTCGTCGATGGTTCGCCAAAGAAAGATCTGACGGTAAGTATAATYGTTGTGTGCAGTAGTGCAATTGTTGCCTTGCAGGCTGGCATTCACAGCTTTGCTTGTTGTCTGATTGTCTGCTTGACTAATCGCTAGGTGCGCTGTTTGAGAGCTGGATTTGTTGGTTGCTCGATTGGTTGGTTGGATTACTCGTTTTTGTTAGCAATAGGTGTGTTAGTTTGTTAGTTTGTTGATTGATATCGGATGAAAAAAARTAAATAAATAAAAWAAAAAMSRAAAAAAACCTCCTTCGCGATTTCCTGAGCCATCTTAAAAGTTAGCCGTCCCTGCGAGAGTACAATGATGGAGACGTTCTTYCACTTCTATAGAGACAAATATCATTACACGCTCAACGTTCTCATTTCAATGAAAAGGTACGGCTAACTTTCAATATGGTGCAGGGAGGGAACTGTGAAGATGTTATTTATTCGTCTGWGAGGATAGCCTTTCACGGTTTTGCAAGATCTTATCCGATTGGTTTACTAGCTATTTGTTGAATAATGAAAACAATAGGATTTAAGAACGAGGAAACAATGAGCATTTTTTTWWTYYTYCMA